AAAAAAAAAAAAAAAAAAGGAATAATATATTGAATGGATCTAACTTATGCTGTTAAAATAAAAGAATAATTTGATAAATTACTTAAGATAGGATTTATTTATCATGTGGATCAAATATAATGATTATTTCTAATAGTTATTATTTTTAAAAATAATAGCAAGATCCAAGTTTATATTGTTTATAAAAAACTTAATGAAGTCACAAAAATTAGATCCTTTTCGATTATATTTTACTAGTGTAATAATTTAAAATAGTGATTGGATAAAAATTGTATTTTATGTTTGATAGATTCAATGATTATAATCAAATTCCAATGGCTATAAAAAAAATCAGCTTAAAACTTATTTTATTACAAAATAAGAACCATTTGCATATTGAATAATATCCTTTGATTTGAAAAATGTACTTGATATATTTCAAAGAATAGTTATGCATGCCTTAATAGAATATTTGAATGATTTTATGCAAGTTTTTCCTGACAATTTTAGTATGTATGGAATTCAAATCAAATATTTGGAGTCTTTACAAAAGTGCCTTCAAAGATATTAAGAATATGGAATTAATTTTAATTCAAAAAAATGCACCTTTCATTTATTTTAGGTGAATTATTGAGTCATATTATTGATAAAGAAGGACTACTAATAGATCCACCAAGATATAAGTTATAATGGTTTTATCACCACAAAAGAATTTTAAAAGAATGTAAAAATTTATAGATTCTACTAGTTATCACCAAAGATTTGTATAATATTTTGCAAATAAATCATAACTTCTAAAAAACTTTAAAAAATATAGTATTAAGTATATATGGATCATTAAATATCAAAAGCTTTTAAGGCTTTAAAAATATATATATATATATATATATATATATATATATTTATTTATTTCAATTTCAATTACTCCATATTGAAATAAAACATTTCATGAATATTGCGATACTACAAATAAAGCAATTGATAGTCTTTTGGCAATTTTATTGCATAATTAGATTCATTCATTTATTATGCATATTTATTACTAAATCAAGGCTGAAAGAAATTATAGTACCACAAAAAGAGAAGTATTGGTAATGGTTTATTTAATTCCAAAATTTGTTAATATATTTTGAATATATTCTTTTTGTATCATAAATATCTTTTTTTATTTACATGTATTTTTATTTTAAATATGGAGTAACTTTTCTTTCTAATAATTTGACATTTATAATTTTTCATGTGATTATTTTTTTGAATTTCACCAATATTTTTTTAAAGTTACCAATCATGAGAAGGTCATCTACATAAAAGGCAAGAAGAATGATTTTTCCATGTAATAGTCTTGAGTATAGATTGTGATCTTTTGTACTTTATTAAAAGCCTACTTCTTTAGGTAAGAGTTTATTTTTTCATACCATGCTTGAGGTGTTTGTCAAACTCCATATAATACCTTTTGTAATCTACAGACCATTTGTTCTTTTTCTCATACTTCAAAATCTTGAAGTTGGATTGCATAAACTTCTTCTTTTAATTCTCTATGAAAGAATGTAAATTTGACATCCATATGACATAATTTTTAAATTTTTTGAACTACAATTAATATCACAGCTCTAATTATTGTCCATTTTATTACTAGTGCAAATATTTTTTTTTATAGTCAATTTCTTTCTTTTACTCAAAGCCTTGAGCTATTAATTTGACTTTGTATTTTTATAGTGATCCATTTGTATTTAATTTTTCTTTGTAAATCCATTTTGTAGAATTAGTAGTTTTATCTTGCAAAAGATTTGCAAAATGCCACATTTCATTTTTATATGTAGAATTTATTTCTTCTATCATTGTTTGCATCTATCTTTGTTGTCTTGAAACTTTGTAATATGATATTGGTTCTAAATTTAGATTCTACATAAATTCTACAAAATAGTTACATAGCCAACTTGGATATTGGATTAATCTATCAACTCCTATCACAATAGGAGTTGTTCATGCTAGAATTGACAAATTATTGCTAGAATTGAGTAAATTAGATTCTTTAGAGGATGATATGTCATTATTTATTTCAAAGATGGATCATTCATTTATCTCTTCTTTGAGGTAAAAACAAAAAAATTCTTTGAATTTTCTTTTTCAAAATATTGGGGTCTTCTACTTTGTTGAATCTTATGGATAGCAAAGTTTTTTCTATTTTTGTTGCCAACCATGTAGGTTTGGCCTAGTATAGAGATGCTAATGATGAAGACGATATGATTTTTTATATTATTGGAAGAGGATCTAAAGATAAAGCAGTGCCTTTTCCAATCATCATAAGATTCTCGTCAATGGAGTAGATCTGAATAAGACAACATGTTTTCCATTTTTTATATTTTTAGCAATAATATGGTGAGACGATGATTTTTCTAACAAATCTAGTATGGTGCTAGTTTCTAATGTTGTTTTATCATAGTTTTTAGGATCAAGGTACTCTTATGAAGAATGTTCTAGCTCATTGTTCTACTTAGATTTTTCATAATTCAAAAAAATTGATTTCTCAAAAACATTGTCTTTAAACAGTATAACTTTACATGAATGGTGTAGATATATCATATATGCTTTAATTTACTTGTCATAGCCTATAAAATTGCCAACTATTAATCTTGATTGTAATTTATTTCTTAAATGACAACTTATATGTATGTAAAATAAGCAACCAAAAATCCTTAGATGATTGAGTTGAGGTTTGTTACCTCAAAAAGTCTCTTTTGGTAATTTATTTTGATAGTTCATATGCATTGGTAGTATATTTAATAATATATTTCCATTTTTGCTGCTTCATGCTATAAATAGGTAATTTTTTGTATAATAACATGTTTCAAATCTTTTATATGATGGTAGGATTTCTTCTTTCTACTACTCTATTTTGTTGGGGTATATGTGGTTGCATATATTGTCATGTAATACCATATTTCAAGCAATATTTCAAAAATTCTTGTGATGTAAATTCTCTTCTATTATTCGTCCTTATTTGCTTGATTTGTTTCTATGTTCAAACCATGATTGAACCATGATTGTTTGCCTTTCAATCATGGTTTTAAATTCAACAAATTTACCAAAAGTTTGGCTCTTATTTTTAAGAAAGCAAATACTCATTTTTCTAGAGTGGTCATCAACAAAGAGAAAAAAAAATCTTGTACATGATAACATAACTGGCAATGGACCGCACAAATTTGCATGTATTAATTCTAGTATTTTTTTGGATCTGTTAGCTCCATTTTTGGTTATTGATTCGTGGGTCTGCTTTCCTTCAAGGCAGTACTAACACACAATTGGAGTTGCAGTAAATGTAGGAGTAAGCTCTAAGTTTATCAAATGATTGTTGATTTTTCCACGTGCCCAAGGGGGCAATGCCATAATTGAGTAAATTGATCCGAAGTCTGCAAAGTATACATGATTTGATGCTCAGACTATTTTGGTTTTAGCGTTCGATTTTGATTCACGAAGACTGCCAACTACAGGTTCTTCTGATTATTGACCTTGTACAGTCATGATTTCTCGTCTCAATAGCCCTATATCACTATCTTTGGCGGATTTGTTTGAGTAAGAGCAAGCATTGTTCCTTCCAAAATATGATCAACTGATTAGTATTTTGTACATACTCTCCAACTGATAGCAAGTTTTGTTTCAGACTTGGCACGTAAAGGACATCTTGGAGGCAGTTTTTTTCTTCGTTTTAAACAATTATATCCACATTTCCTCGTCCTCTCACATTGTGCGATTTGCCATCCGTCGTGGCCTCTGCACTATGTTGAGACGGTAATTACATATTTGAAAATACATTCTGATTTCTTGAAAAGTGCCTTCATGCGCCATTATCAATAACCCATTCTTGCTAAAGTTCAATACAAGTGCTTCTCCGTTCTGCTCTTTGCCCGGATTTATTGTCATTTCCTCCATGTGCAAACGGCTTGCCAGATTTGCTAGGATCGGTGTGTCCTCAGATCGCAACACTCTTACAAAGGTTTCAAATTTTGCTGGAAGAATTTTCAGCACTTTTTGAACTACCACTATATCTGATGGGAGTTCATTGATTTCTCTCAAATTGTTTGAGGTTGTATACGTATTTTACAAAAACAGATACCATCATTCCATCCATCATCCTAAGGTTCTCCCATTTATTAAGAGTTTTCATGACATCCGCAATTGTCTGCGTTGAGTAAACATTAGCAAGAATTTTCCATGCAATTGCAGGATCGGTTGTGATTAAGATGAATAATTCTATCATGTCAATCAGTGACAGCTTCAGGAAGCCTATAGCTCTCGTTTTCCTCCTTCTAAGATGCTCTTGTTCATGAGATGTTTAAGGCGTGGTGATGTTGTCGACTGCTTCAAGTGTGACTGTTTCCTCCAGCTCATGCTTTATCGTTGTCGTGTTTGGTGAGGCTTCGTTGTTAGACACTGCTTGCCATGTGCTTTGTCTCTGTGAAATGGTTTTAATCAGGGCAACTACCTCCCATAAATCCTCTCTCTGATACACTTTGAATTGTGCTCTTCCATGACTCGTACTTCTCTGGTCCAGCTCGCATTTTTGATTGTGCTATCACTAGGTCTATTGTGCACATCTCTGTTCATACAAGTTATTCATGTCGTGACTCTCTCTACTAAGTTGTCCGCTCTGATACCATATTAAGCATACCAAGTAATAATAGTATCATAACACAACAGAGCTCTATAGTGAAATAAGAGAACCAAGAAAAGAAAACAAACATTCTACAATGACTCAACTTCTCCACTACAGGAGCCTTCAATCTTTACTGCTGAGAAAAGGAGAGTCCAACTCTCTTACACAAAAAAAAGTTATCGACGTCCAAAATTGATACCCAGACTACAAGTACATACCCGACACAATAGATAGGAAACCTAGACAGAAGGGCGTCTCGTTAACAAAATCTGGGCTTAAAATCTTGGGAACATGTGGCTAATGAGTCATCACCCAGTGCAATAGCATCACAACAATCAACAATGCTGAGGGCCACAAAAACAAACCATTAAAGGTGTTGCAGCAAATCCTTCAAAAGGTGCTTAGAAATGCATTCTTATTGACGAAATGCTCATCTGTGTTGCTACATGGAGGGGGAAAAGGTTAAAGTAAAACCCTAAATAGTCTCTAGCCTTGCAGTTAAAGTGCCCATCCCAGTGAAACGAGCACAAAGGTATGCCTCGAACCGACGCCAAGCCTGTTGAACCTAAAACTCTAATAGCTATGATCGTCAGTAGCCTTCCGTTTCCGTCACTGATAGTCCACATGCAGCAAGCAGGTTGAGAAAATGCAGTTGATAAGCACGACAGTTTTATACAGGAAGATCTGACCTCTATAAACATATGTTACAACCTCGCAATGTAGAGGCATGGCAGCACAATTTTTCATTTGTACAGAGTGCGTGATCAAGCCACGTCGAGGTCATAACAGCTTCCCTGCACCCATTGTTGTCAACGGTGCAGGTTAGGGCTGCGCCTCGAGGTGCGTCGAACTCGCTGGTGTCGATCAACAGAATGTTTCGTCCAAAATGCTGCACGTCGTGGTGTATATGGTGCTGGGGTTGTACAGTTGAGCGAAAAGAGCTTCGTCGAATACAACCACCCGGGGTATAGCAGGAGCCTTCACTTGGCATGCCGACGACGAGGCCTGCTCTTGCAGCACGACGAACATGTACATTAGGGGCAAAGCGAAGGGCGGCAACAGATTATTATGGTGACAATGCGTGTAGCAGAGGAGGGAAGGAGTGTTAGTAGGGCATACCAGAATTTGCTGATTGGTATTGCTTGATGCGACGCTCGCTTCGTGAACACCGGGTTGCTTCACGCCCTTCTTTTGGAAATGCTTTTGAAGAGCTTGAACGGCCTCATTGCAAATCAACCTGACGTATTTTCAGGCGGAGTTAGAAAGGAATATAAATGACTCACGAAAAGTTGGTGATATATTGATGGTAAGTTACGGTACTCCGAAATGCAAAGCTACAGAAGAGAAAATACCCTGAAGATCGCAACCGCAGGTCTAAGAAATCTGCTGAAAGCCACTGATTGGAAACGTCTTCGTAGTCCACTCGTGACAAGTAGCACTCGTCCCCACCCTGCTTAATCACATTATATAAATGAGAACTTCAACAATCAACCTACTTCTCTAAAACTCACATTGAAAAATGATCAAATCCTGTGATCTTCATAGCACACATCAACCTGCGTAATCACAATGCATGTACGACTACAGACATCTGTTCCAGGAGGACGCTAGGTACCGGCAAAACAAGAGAGCTTCGTGGAGACAAAGTTCCAGCTCGCTTGCACACGGAAGGCGATCTTCGCACTCCTACCAATGGCGCTCCACTAGTGAAGGTTGACGAGCACCCGAACGCTTGCATTATCAAAGCCATGAATACCTTAAAGCAACAAACCTTTCCGATTGCCTTCCAAAATTCTCTGGATCTCAAGCCGAGACGCGAACCTCTTGCACTCCAAATCTGCAACGAATACCCAAGAATCGACCTCCCGAAACAAACAACAGGCTACTCCAATAGAGATGCAATTCTCGACGAAGCTGTAAGTGAGAGAACTCTAATCAGTCAGCATGTGCACTTCCCTTATGTAGAAACCGTCGGCGAATGAGACGGCTCAATGCTGTAGCCAAGCATGCGAACTCCCCCAACTAGACTCACGTGGCACGAATTGGATAAGGACACTTTTCTACGGCGCGTGTGAAGACCTCGACTGCTAATTACAGCTCCTCCGCAGCATCCTCTTGCAAACCAACTGACCCACAGGCAGTGATAAGTCCAGATGATTGTCAGAGAAAATCCATATCCGACGGTCTCATGTCAACGACCTCTACAACCCCGACGGCTCCCATCGATCGGGCAAGGTTACACGAACCTGCTTACCAGTTCATTCCAATCCATTAAACAGAGCATCACGGCTGAAAAGCAATGGTTTCCCCCCACAAAGCCAAACAAACTTTTACTCTGTGGTCTGTGTCGCCAGAGTTGAGGTGCTGTGCTTCCGTCGCGCAGACCGGGATCTCCATCCGTCCAGATGATGTGCGTCCAATAGCTTCCGGCTTCTAGGATTGGAAGCATGATGGAAGCCAACACCGGATCGGCGAATAGCAGGCTCCCGGCAGCATGGTTGGCACACAAAGCTGAGAATCTTCCCCGCCGTCCGTCGTGGCATAGCCACGTCAACCAGATGTTCGATATTTTTGATCGAAGCCAATCGACTTGGCACAAATGGGTTCGAGGTGGTACCTCCTGCCGCCTGTGATTGCTATGTGTGAAGTTGCCAGAGGAGAGTGCGATAAAGATTAGGAATTCCTAGAATCTTCTTCAATGAAGAGGCTTCAGCTCTGCACCTTTCCAAAGTAATATAATTTAAGCAAAAGTGTCTAAATGCACAATTTTGTAATACGATAAACTAGCGTATTTGACACGAAGTAACAACGGGTGGAGTAAAGTTCGTTAATGAATAATAATATTACACAAGCTAAAGGTGAACTTCAGTTGGAACCACGCTGTCTATGATTTTCTAAAATTTTCATTTGAGAGAATTTTCATTTCACAAAGGTGTTGAAAGAACATCTTTTGTGATAGATTCTAGAGTTTCTGATCAGATGGAGAGAGTGTCAGTTTCATTGCTCCCGAAACTGCCAAACCACTCCGGAACCCACGTTTTCCTCATAATGGTCCAACATGTTCATGTCGTGCATCTCTCCTCAAAGGAAGTTGAGATCGTGGCACATTTCCTCTTGTAGAGAGACACTTGATTCTATTTCACCGCTTGAGAAAGGGCACATGAAGAGTTTCTACATTTGCAAACCGACGTTCTTCACAAACTTGTGTTCAATTCAAATACTGACTCGCCATCAAGGTCTCGAACATGAATACTCGAAAACACCCACCCAGTATAAGTCCCACGCACTGTAAAGCAGCAAGATGCACCATCACTCAAACTGATCACGAACCCCTTGAACTGACATTTCCCTTTGAACCTTGTCTGGTTGCAACTGTAAAGCAAATGTAACAAATGTTAAGCATAAGGAATGCTTTGACCAAGAATGAGAGATGTACAATTCGCAGATAGAACCTTGCCTAATCCAAAAGTACGCATTGCAATCCACTAATACTTCCCAGACTATGCCTTCTGCATAGATCTCAAAAGCCACGTATAGATTACATCCATGAACAGTAAGCACCATCAAGAGTAGTGTACTTCAGGGTCAACAGCTAATGTTGTCTTCACAATGTTACCCAAAGATTCAGATCGATAATCGACGTTTATGGAGCTGCAAAAACACGTATAAATCACGGCAGTCATGCAAAACATACAATGTTGTAGTGCAACGGTGTACCAGAGAATTACCCTGAGCACTTCACACCCTGCACAGTTGCTTCAGAAAACGGAAACACAGATTTGCCTCTGAAAAGAAAAGGGAAGAAGAAAATTGTGCAGGGATATTTCACGTGCTGCAGTGAACACGACTTAGGAGCTGAAAAACTAAAAGGGAGACAAAGGAATAAACAGAGTGAATCTGGCCACGGATTTTTTGAGATTGGTGCGAAGGGTAACAAGGTCCACCTGTGCCACAAGGGCCACACCGACCACCGCCTCGGAAACCATCTCCGCTCAGTACTCCAAAACTAAGGGAAAGCCACTGAACCAAAAACCCAAAACCCCACTCAAAGCACTTAAGAAATGTGATAACCCAGTATCGGAGTGCACAGGAGGTTTTGGGAATGCGAAATGAACTTTCTGGGCCTTATCATCTTCTAAATGCCCCTGTGCGCTTCAAAGAAGCCATTATATGAGAAACAGAAAACCTTTCTCAACCTGTGCTGGTCACACTCACTTGGAGGATACATCCAACAACGTTAGGTCATCTCACTTTTACGCACTTGGTCAGCAAAGAACATTAGTTGCTTGCACCACAACTGGATTATCCTGGTCTGCTCATACAATCATTTCATTGACGCGCTTCCATGTGCTCTTTGTGTCGCCTCGCTCAGTGAACTTAATTGCATTACTCACCAAGTTTGTGAGTACCTGCACATTCGTAAATCTCAACAACGTTGGTGCTTTTGAATCGACTTTTAATCACATGACTGAAGATTGAAATGCAAAGCCCGTTTCTGGTTTGGCATGTGGAAAGATTGCTCGAAGCCCACATGAACTTCGCGAACACTCGTCACATGATACCCTGGTAAGTTTCTACATCAAATGACATTGATGAAAAGTAAAGAGCAAAATTTTATAACTTCATTTTTTCGTAATCTCTGTGATCTCATCTGTAGTGAATCCATCGCAGCTGGTGAGGCGTAAAGGTCAAAATTTTGGGAAAGCAAGATGCGACAGTACGCCAGATCGATTACACCAGTGCTTAGGAGGTTTTGAGAATTCGAAATGAGCGTTCTACGCCTTATGACCTTGTACATGCCCCTGTGAGAGCTCACACCCCTTGACTTGAACCCCACCTCAACCTTGCACCGCCACCGCGTTCTCAAACCATATTTCACAACCACGGGACATATCCACAACATGCAGCACACTCCCGCCCTCACGACTGTCCATGTCGGAATTCACGCTGTCTTCTACACTTACGTCGAAGAAAACGGTGTTGTGATTGGCATTTCGATCGTTCCTGTCAACGCCATCTAACCGCTGAGGAAACTGAACGTAGCACACCCTCTTCCTCCCACGATGGGATCCATCAAAGGGCACATATCTTCCCGGAGCGCCTTGCAGTTGTTGATGTAATGATCACAATCCAGACTCAGGATGAAAGTCGCCTTCGTTAGCACCGCAGGCACCCGCACCAACGCGTTCGTGGCACCGGCCTTCTTGTGATACTTGAACCCGAGTCGTTTCTCTAGAGACACATACACCAGCCGTGGCAGCTCGTTCCCCTCCGTGTAGTGACCCCGCTGTGTCCCAAAAACATCTGCAATACCCACGCGCGCATTCATCAACTTCGGATGCACAATTATTTCCGCCCACTGCGTCCTAGCAACATGAATTCCACTCCCTCCAACCTTCAATACCAAACTCTACACATCTAAACCCACTCCCCAAAACCCCACACTCCTTGCGCCCATCCACCACTCCACATACCTGGATCATCCCGGGATGGTCGCAAATGTTGTTCCCAGGCCACAGCGGTACAATCTGCATTGTCCATCCTTCGACCGGCATCTTCAGTGCTTCATATGCTTAAACAAAAGCATTCTGTGTCTTCCCCTAAGATGAAAGCGAGAGGCACGTTTGACACAATTGGGGTCAAGGATGACGACACAACCCCCGCGCGATCCCAATAGAGGTGATTGTTGCAAACCTCTTTTCAAAAACATATTCCAGTAATTGACTCGAAGCCGCACACCTAAGCAACCATGACACTGGACAGCAGTGATTCAGACCTGCACCGAGACATACACTGCAAAATGACTGAACTTTCGGACAACCTGGAAGAACTTACTTCATGCTGCAACATTACAAACCACTCCCCCTACGTGAGTACCCAGAGAAAGCCACTTCCATGTGACAATGACTCCAACATAGTGCATTAACGCAGCAAAACGCTCACTCACCGTTTCATATCAAGAGCTCTCCAAACCTCTTTGAGATGTCGCCATGTCTATCACTCCTCCTACATGCGCATTCAAGGCTTTCTGGAGCCATCATTCCCAGCATTCATGTGAAATGAATACTATCCAACCTCCCCGCTCAATAGGTGACTCCCACCATCTACCCGTGTACAACTAAAACGCATCAATTTTTCCACAACTTTCACTAACAGGTCCGATCAAGCGTACCTACCTGACAGATTATTCTTCGCCCACTGTCAGGCCAAGTCCTGGCTGTCCCAGTAGAGGCAATCCCTCCACCCAATACATGCAACGTGGCCAACAGAGCCAAACACCCCCAACATCTTTGGCCCCTCTTACTAAAAAGCTTTATCTCGTTAAGACCCAATTCATTTCCCATCCCCACCCTCTGACCTCAATCTCTCCCACACCCAATTCGATTTGTCGCAAGTGGTAACTTCCGTTCCAGATACAAACCCTAATTCCACCACTAAAAAATATCCCTTGTGGAAAGTCTCGAACAAGGTCAAAAAGGACAATCCTACCCAATTATAAAATGCCGAGAAAATTGCAGCGATGGGAATCGGATGCGGCTTACCACCAGCAAACAACGGCAGAATTCGTCAACTATTTCAAAGCGTAACGTGGAGGTGGATCCTAGAGCATGATGCAGATGACCGTTTGTTACTGCAGCCCACCGAGATGGGGACCTCAATTACGAAGAAACTGTCCAGTTGGATGAATTCTAGATGAACGTCATCGAAATTGGATGAATAATATAAACATGCACGGCCTTTCTGGATGGGAAAGTGAAAGTTTAGCTGACCTGTAGGAGTGGTGGGTGGGTCGGTGGTGGCGCTCCCGAACTTGCACAGAGGCACAGTGTGCTCACCAGATTAAAAGCAACTTGCACAACTTTGTGCATTAAGTCCAGCATTTGCTGGTGTTGTGTTGCGAGTTGATTTGAGTTCCTACAAGTTAGGCAAAGAGTGGCGAGATATTTTCCTTGGTAAATTCTTACTTTGAAGAGATTTAGTAGCATGACACTTTTTAATATCTCATTTTAAATTTTAATTTTAAAATACATTTATTTCAAAGTACAATTGTATTAAAGTGTTTATTTTGATGATCTGGGATAGTTTAGTAATAAAGCGGATATGATATTAAATGCAAAAATATAAGAGAAAAACAAAACAAGACAATTATTTTATTA